ATAGAACATTTTAGTCATATATTGATTTTGCAGCATACAGGGAAAAATGTCATTCCTTTACCTTTGATTTGCTAGATATTAGATATTAGACTGCCAATATTAAACATAAAATTATGGAAAAATGTATGCATACATTATAATATGCATAACGTTATACATTCATCTTCTTTTAGGCTACATGTATTGGCCAGTAGGTCAACAAAGTTACAGACAGCTTTTATATTATTTTCATGCTGCAACAAAAAAACAATATGATTTTGAAATAGCCTGTTGTACAAGAATAGGTAATTCCAGAAAATACATAGATTCAATCACTGCTAAAATCCCTAGTTTGATGATATAAAGCTACGTCAACAAACAGATGCCAGCTTTTACCCTCTGCTCGTAATCCAAAGAACCAACACATGAATACCAACCAGGACATCAGTCAACCCGAAGAGCTTTTGTATATCCTGTTTGGCTATATCTAAATCTCTCAGATAAATTAGCTCTAGCTTTCATAAGTTTTTAGAGTCTTGTTTTGAAGTCCTTGTTTTAATCAAGATGAAGTGTTAGGAAATGTAATTAGTTGTTAATGTATTTACTTTTGTTTTGGTGCTTCCTCTGTTTTTGTATTTGTTTTTTTCCCAGTTTATTTAATTATTTCATACATTTTATGGTTCAATGATGATAAACAATCTGCAAATTGTTGGACTCAAACTCAATAGCTGTGGATAAGGTTTGCATTAGAGCCCGACCGATATGGATTTTGTTGTGGCCGATATGATACCGATATAATGATAGTTGGAGCTGCCGATAGCCGATATAATCACCGATATATTTAGTGATGTAAAAATTCACTGTAAATCTTGAATTATTTAAAAAAAACTTAGGTTTGACTCTTGTGGATTTTAAACTGGGTTTATTTAGGCAACATTTATTGTTATTCTGCCTCTTTACATGAAATGTCATAGGACTAAAGCAGGTCTAAGGCAGGTCTAAAGCAGGACTAAACCAGAACTGAACCAGCACTGAAAAAGCACTAAACCAGGACTATAACAGATCTAAACTATGTGCAAAACAGAACTAAACCAGAATTTAACCAGGACTGAGTGTCGGGACTCGGTCTCTATCTCTCTCCCTCTCTCGACCCCAAGATTAGTCCTGGTTTATTTATTTTATGCTGAATATATTTTTGCAAGTTTTTTTTTACACTATGCACACGCAGAGTTTTGAAAGTTTCGTTTTTAGCCGCTGCCGCTGTCAAACTACCACGAGTCTGCACGTGGCATGAAGAGAAAAAAGTGAGAGAAAGAGAAAACACGGCTCCCAATAAGGATCAGGCTCCCGTCGTTTGCTTCAAAGAGCCAGATCTAAGAGCCGCTTCGTTCGCGAACGACCCATCACTACTAGCGAGTAAATAAACAATCGCTATTAGCCTTTAGCCGTAAATGCTGCGTGCCGCGGTAATTAATTATATGCGCAAATTTCATCATTCACACGTCTATTCACAGCTCATTTACATATCAATGCAGGTCCAGTAAGAAATATATGGCCAATATAGTCACTTTACAATAGACCAATAGAAAACGGCCTATTTATGTGTGGGAGCTACAGCAGCTAACCGCTAACCAAAAACTTATATAGTATATCGGCCGATAGCCGATATGCTTCCGGGTGCTCAATTCGGCCGATAATATCGGCCAACCGATATATCGGTCGGGCTCTAGTTTGCATGTTCTATAGGAAAAGCATGATAACTAATGTCTGGTTTTAAAGCATATTTACTGAAATTGTACTTGGGGTGCAATATTATTTGATGATTTAAGATAAGGTGACAGTTCGACAGGTCTGACCATGCACTGTGGCAACATTTTTTTCTCATTATAATATCTTTGTGGAGTGGGCACAAAGGCAGGAGGCTGACAGGGCCCTGCATCATTAGGTTTAATCAAAGCTGGACTGAAACAAAAACAAACACACAAACCTCCACCCACATATGCACAGGCTGATGGTGAGTCAATACCTGACATTCATCATTTTGGAACAGCCGCCTTTTTAATTACTGCTATGAATTCCCCACTCTGCTCAAGCCACCATTCACCGGCCATCTAAACAGGCCTATTGTTAAGGCTTGCCTTGGTCTATGTTTATTTTGTTTTGTTTTTTTTCATTAATTATACTTAAATGTTTCAAATAATTAGACACAATTTAACATTTAAAAGCAGTTTTTACTTAATATAAATCAAAGGGATAAAAATCTACCAAACCTTGTGTGGAAAAAATAATGGCATCTTTGATTAAACAATTTTTTATTTTTTATTTTTTTTTGACTGAGTTCAGAGAACTGAGTTCAGTTTCACGATAGCCAAACCCTGACCACCAACCCAGTCAAGTAGGCCACACAGTCTCAAAAGGAAAAGCACAGTATGCCGCAATCCAAAAATAATGATCAAATAAAAAAATAAAATAAAAATTCTCTATCAGTGTGCAATAAGCACACAGAGCATAGAATAGAATGCATACGGCCAACAGGAAAAGCCACTGCCTTAATGTCAGGTCACCTTGACACCATTTGTGCCACTTGTGCCATGTCTGGAGGCAGCAGACATTTAAGGTGTTGCTTCTTTCCTCCAGCTCTGGCATTCAGCAGAGCTACTATCCATTTCCACCACAGGTGTTGCAGAGCCCTTTTTCCTCTTAGGGCATGGACTAAAATTGTGCATGAGTGGAAATAATATGCTGTTATTTTTACTTCTCACTCACTACTGGAGGTGTTTCTCAAGAGACCCTGCCAGCTGCCTTCAAAACAATGGCAAGTAAACTTTACGTATAGATTCTGTCTGATCTTTTTGAGACAGAAACATTATATGTGTACATACAGTTTAGTTTCAGAGTTTCACATAAGTAAGTAGTAAGTCATTTTGTGTTATAGTTGTCATAGCTTGTGCTCTACAATTTCCAAAATATATAAAAGAGGATTTATTAACAGCTTTACAGGTCTATCTGTGTACACTTCACTTATTGTTTGAGCTACACAGCCACCTGTCAGATAAATTGCACTGTAATTGAGATAGCAGTTGAATAAACACATGTTCTATTGGTTTTATCTCCATTGTCACATAAAGCAGCAGGTTAACTGTGACACACTGTACAAGGCTGCCCGTATCTCCAAGGCCATCACCAAATGTCGCCAGGGCACTCATATCTGCACACATGTTGGCGTGGCTTTATTAAATCCACATAAGTGAACGCTGGTGTGAGTCTTTAATGTAAAGCATGTCATATATATATTCAGGATATCTCATATTACATCAACAGAACTGACACATTTTTCTTTCTGTTCTGGTGTTCCATATTGTAGTATGATCCAATAAAAGTGCATAACGACACAAAAGGACGATGTGAAAATGTACTCCAAAAGTTACAGCTACAGCAATACTACAATGAAACAGTACAGTTTTTGTATTCTCAGCTACTGTAATCAAGCTTTCTGAACTCAGCACCAATCTGTAATGTAGTTATTTAAAGAAGGTGAGGAAGGCATATGCTAAATTAACATACATACATGAGCACAACTGATGGAAAAAAAAACCTGCACTTTTTTTTTTTTTACCAATGGATTGATTTTTTCATTTGATAAAAAAATAACATTGCAGCATATTACAGTCAAACATGGCTGGTCATAGCTTTTCCCCTTAAGGGTCACTGCAGTCATTTCTTTTTGTCCTACATGTGCTCTGATTTTCATATTGATTTGACACTGTTTTTATAAAAGATGAAGACCTCTTCTTAGTTGAGCCTGGGTCTAGTGCACTTGCCTGTGACTTTATGAATTCCTCATATGTTTAAATGGAAATGCATGGCCACACCTTTTTGATAAATAAAGGCTACATCTGTGGAAATACCTTTCTTCATTTATTTATGGGAGAGCTGTGGGGCGTTCGGTGGGGTAGAGGCATCGCTCCTTCGTCTCCTGCCTCCATGCGGTGCTCATCGATTTCAACCCCTCTCTGCTGAAGTGCACCATCAATCAATACAGTAACAAGTCTTCATTTAGACTTAAGAAATGCACTTTCCAGCTCAGTGGGCACACAGTCCTGGTGTTATGAATGCAGCCAGTGTTAGTGCGGGTCGAGTCCTTCCTTTGGCCTTGAAACTTATCTGACCAAGAACTAATGCATGACTGTGCATGCACTCCTCCGGACCAGCACAGAGCAGTGATGGTGCTCAGTATTGTGGCAAGTATGGACAGATTTGGTCACCATGTTTTGTTTTTTTTGTTTTGTTTTTGTTGTTGTTGTTGTTGTTGTTTGTTTGTTTTAGTTTTTTTGTGGAAATTGTAAACCAGCAGGGCGATCAATAGTCTACTCAACTCAACCTTTTTGCTATTAGTGTTAGTATTTATAATAGTGGAAATGTGTTTGTGTGTTTCATCTGATGACAATAAGAAGCAATCAACTGGAGACAAAATGTATAACTGTCCTACTTCAAATTTAGTTAATTTTATTTGCATGAGCCTATATTCATTTGCCTATTACACCAAAAAAAAAAAAAAAAAAAAAAAAAAAAAAAAAAAAGCAAAAATTGCTTATTTGTTGTTGATATTATTTCTAAGTTAAATAGCTTTAAGGGGAAAATGACCTTAAGTTACGTAGCTGACTTTTAATTTCCATGAAAATATTTCAGAAATCCCAGCAAGGGTTCATTTATCCTGTGCTGCACTATGTATGCTCCGACAGCAGGGGTAGTAGCAGCATCGGGATTCGCCAGTTAAAAAGGAAATAGTCTTTATAAATGAGGAAAATAAAAATATAATTTGCCGTTCTTAACTTTTTCCATGTACAGCGCATCCTTTCATATGGGCCTATCACTGTATCGCTGACTCCACGCTTTACATCCGACCCATGGATAACAGCTCCTCCTCCTGCCCACCCCTACCGCCTCACCGGCACTCGTATTTGGTATGGTCCGCTCCTCCCCGTCCTACGTCTCGTGAATGGTAGTTTCTATTGGGAGAAGGTCAAATGACTCCGCATGTCTGCTTCTGTGTACAACATCCCTCTATGGTGCACGGCAGATGAAGAAACACCTCCAGCGCGTATCCAGTTCAGATTTGATTGTGACCAAGATCTGAAGTGGGATGTCTCTGTGAAAGTAAGTAGCGTACCTCTATTCTGTCATTTTGTATCCCCCAAACCTCCATCGGAGCTGATGTTTTGATACTGGCCGGAGAAGTCCTTTCCCTATTAAGATTTAATGTTTGCAAAGTGTTGTGTTTCCATTGAGTCGCTGCAGTTTACGCGTCCAGGATATTTTGAACAACTCTCATAGGAGGATGCTGTCGTTTCCAGTGGACGCGAGTGGGATGATGGTGGGAAGCGAGGGTGGCAGCCTCTTTAAACACAGCTGGGAGCTATTTTAGTACTAACATGGTGATGTGTTAATACTCAAACGGAACTTCTGCATGTGTATTTTGGAGATACAGGAAACTGTGGTGATGCGTAATTGTGCGTCTGGTTTATCAGGAGATCTGAATTATGCATTGTAGCCTTTGTCAAAGTACGACAGTGATACGGCTTATAACTTAAAAGTTAGTTATGTCTTTGAGTATATGCCAATAAAATGTTGCGTAGAAGTTACTTTAAACATCACTTTTTCATCCACACGAACAAAACAAAACAAACTAATAAATAATCAGAAATTACGATAAAATAACAATAGTAGCCTCCCTAATACACCATAACTATACTACACTGACATATCAAAGGTGTTTTATGTATGCCTTTATTGTTATTTTAGGCCGGGAGCCAGGTCCACCCCTCAGGATGTTTTTTGCTACCTTTTTTCACTATTATTTCCTGTTATATTATATCTTGGGCCATCACGAGTTGATAGGGACCAACCCCAACTTGGCCCCGTTTGGTCTCAGGGCCCAAAAAACACACTTTTTAAGAAAAGCTATTTGTGAAGTTATGTAACTGTAGATATTAAGGTACTGAAACCACATACATGGTCAAATAACCCTAAAATTTGGCATGGTGTATCCTGACACATGGGGGAAACTAGCAGAAAAATATTTTGGGGCTTGCTGCCTTTCTACTGTCAAATATCACCCTCAACATATCCTAAAAGACTAAAAAATGTCTGTCCACCTGACAAATTGTCATCAAAAGTGATAATTTTCAAGCATTTTATTGCATATATCACTGCCTCAAATGTAAATGAAAAACTTCCCATGTTCATAAGCTTCAATTTAAGCCCAAGACGACCTTTGTATCTAGAGGGAAACAGCTGCTATGACCAAAGTTCTTCACTGTACCTCAAATCGGCAGGAGGCAGAACTTTCAGGCATTACCATTACTTATGGGAATAAGCAGGATTTTTTAAAATAGAAACAATATTTGAAAAGAGTTGACTTATGTACTCCTGTACTATATGAAGTGAATTACATTAAAAGTGAATAATATTAATTACATTAATAGTGAATAATATTAAAACTCAAGGTCAGAGTGCAAGATAAAACTATGGTAACCAGGTTACACATACAAACACACACAACCCACACACAACCAACCAACATCCTGACCCTTCATGCAACATCCCATCAGAAGTTATTTTCCAAAGACAAGTGTGCAGAAGCTGATAATTTTTTCTGGTTATAAGAAGAGATTGAGTCTATTGGGAGATTGGTGTCCTTTTCTAGGCGTCCATGATTTCTAGACTGAACATTAACTATTGTCAGATTGTGAGATAACAACCAACCAAAGTAGGAATGGGAGACAAAGTATGGTGTGTGTGCTTGCGTGCGTGTGCACATGTCTGTGCCTGATTTCATCAATAAGATCATCAGTTTCTGTTTGAGGCTAAACTTCAGTGAAATTGGAAACATTGGGTCTCAGTTCTTATATATTTACACATTGAATACTGCACATTATTTCATTGTTGTAATGAATACACAGATTTTCAGATGGGTATTTGACAGTAGAAAGGCAGCAAGCCCCAAAATATTTTTCTGCTAGTTTCCCCCATGTGTCATGCCAAATTTTAGGGTTATTTGACCATGTATGCGGTTTCAGTACCTTAATATTTACAGTTACATAATTTCGCAAATAGCTTTTCTTAAAAAGTGTGTTTTTTGGGCCCTGAGACCAAACGGGGCTGAGTTGGGGTTGGTCCCTATCAACTCGTGATGGCCCAAGATATAATATAACAGGAAATAATAGTGAAAAAAAGGTAGCAAAAAACATCCTGAGGGGTGGACCTGGCTCCCGGCCTATTTTGTAAGTTCTTGGTGTCTTTTTGATTTTAGAGAATCTTTTGTTTGCATGTCAAGTCTACAGTGGCATGAGATGTAATTTTCAAACTAGTTATATGCTACCAAAAGTAATTTCAAACAAAAGTAGCTTTGAGAAAAGGAGTAATACAGTAGTAGATAGTCACCAGAGTGCAGCCCAAACATGCTCCCTGCAGAGTCTCACACAACTAAGCCTATTACTGTATTGCATAATGGAATAAGTTGTAGCTGATCTCCATAAGGTGCCCAGTGAGACTCCCTTAAGGCAAACATGGCAAGGCTGTGTATTGTCCACAGGCTCTCGTATTACACTTCCTAATAAAAGGTAGCGGTCCAGAGGTGGTCAGCATGTTTGAGTATCCAGCTCAAGACACTGTGCTCTGCTGAGTAGGTTGTCTGCTTCCTAATGCATGCCCAACCAGATTCTCCAAGGAGTAGTTTCATTTGTGCTCAAAAGCTCTCTTATGGCCATTTGCAATTACAATTTCATAATGTGTACACAACAAGGCTTTTGAGACCATCCTGTATACTACTTAAAGATCCTATATTACATAAAGTGGATTCTTGTGAGCTTCTTACCATGTTGTAATGCTGTTACCACCTCAAAAACATGCCTGGAGTTGTGTTTTGTTTCATTCACACATGTTTGAGTAATCCTGATTTATTAATCTGTTCACATCTACAAAATTCAAAATGCTCTGTTCCACCTTGTGATGTCATGTTTCAGGGCTGAAATTATCCAACTGATTCTGGTGAAGGTGTATGGAGTTTAAAAACACAGTGGAGCACTTCTTGTATTATCACATGACAACACAAGAGTGTTTTCTGCTTTAGAGAAGCGCAGCCTAAATATGCAGGGTTTGTGTGTTGAACATATGTGAATGAAAAAAAGAAAAACTTCACATATGTTTTTGATGAGGACACTATTATATCATAGATCAGAAAATAGCATAATGTAGGACCTTTAAATGTACACAATTATCTCAAGTAATTAATATACAAAAATGTGTGTATGCTGCCTTCCTTGGCAGTGTAATTTCAACTGTGATTTGGTTATTGTTTAATATTTTAGCTTTTACAAATGGTCATCCATCTAGTTGAGTTGCTGTTACTCTGTGAGGTGAAACGTCACTGGCACTAATATATTCTTTGTATAATGTATTTTGTATTTTCAGTTGTAAAGTTGTAATGAGTATCCTCATTACATAATCACTTGTTGATAAAATGTCATATTGCATCGACATAAACAAGATGGACGCTGGTTGTTGTCAGGCCATGAGAGATGGTACAGTCACAGACACTTTGAATGATGACTTTCATGATGAAATTATGCATGCTGAGGCTGCTCTTGACTAAACCTTTACTCTGACATCAGCAGCCAATGCTTGCTGTTACCAACTGATTTTACATTGGGAGCTGTGTGAATAAAACTGGTCTCTTATTTGATTTATTAGAAACATATGCATTCATGTTAGGAAGCAAATTTGGTAGATGTGTTAAGATTTTTCTTTTGGAACGAGTGATTTGGATCTGGTTTTGAAGGCAATGTTACTAAAGGACTGTTTTTCAAGGTGTATATTAATTTTGTGGGTCATCTATACATGATTATATTTGTTCTGCTAATTTGAAGGCTGTGTAATTTGGGGAGTTGTTGTAAAAAATGCTTAGAAGAGCAACTGTATTAAATCATATGTATTTTATGATTGTATGTGAAATAACCATTATCATAGAAACATAAACAAATACAAATATGTATTATTAAAATTTGAAATGATTTTGGATGCAGAACAGTTTATGAAAAAAATAAATTCATGAGTGTGGCCCATGGCCCGTGGGAGCAGTTTCTTCCATAGTAACAAGGCTGTGTGGAACATGTTGTTATTATGCAAGTGGTGTTTGGCGTTTCTGACGCATCTGTGGCATATTCACTGTGTGTGTCTGTCAGTCTGCGCTCAGAGAGGATCACTGTGTGTACAAGTTGGACTCTAAAAAGCTGACTGTCTGTGTGGCCACCTGTGGATGTAGCACTTCGTTTTCTACTCACGATTCTTTACACAGTATCATGTATTTTATTTTAGTCAAATTATACATTATACTGGTCCATTTGTTTGCAAGGGTAAAAATCTATAGTCTTGCACAGAAGTCAATAGATAACAAGATCACAAGATCAAGATGACAAGATCAGTGCTGTTGTGTTTTGTGTCCAAGTTGTGTTAATGCAATTCCAAGAATACAGTTTTAAATACATTAAGAAATATATTGTTTTCATTATTATGTTTTGTGGCTTAATCTGTTTGGTGACAAAGATGCAGAAATGATACAGAGATTCCCGGACATGATAATGTGGTTATGTTTTCTGTGTGAATCAATCACTTTTGACCTCTTAAAACAGGTTAACCCATGGTCTTCTTATTGTGTGTCGTTGTCATTGTTGTCAGTTGATTGTAAAACTAAACAGAAGTGGGTGCATACATTCAAATACTGTACTTATAGATATAGGAACTTTATTCTTTTACACAAAAACTCACGGTGGCACAGTGGCTAAGGTAGCAAGGTTCCTGTTTCGACTCTTGATTTGCCTGGGGTTTTTGTGTGAACTGCATGTTTCTCCGTGTCTGGGCACTCTGGTTTCTTCTGAGCTCACTGATTTCCCCAATCAACTCAAAACATGCACAAAAGGTAAAATTTACCAGCTGATGTAGTCCTAACCAAGCCTATAACTCAAGATTATAGAGACGGGTCTCATTAAAAGATGGGTCAAATGCAGAGGACAAATTTCCCCTCCAGGACAATAAAGTGTACTTTAATACTTGTGTGTACTTTTATGTAAAAGTATCTAAAAACTGTAATTTAGAAGAAA